GAGGGGGGAGGAGGGAGGAGGGGACGGGTATTTGTATACACAAGGAGTGCAATGCGCACTACCCGAAGGATGAACATATTTGAAACACGGACTTGGTGGGGAGGAACCAAGGGCAACACACGTAACCTAAACATCTGTACCCCATAATATGCTGAAATAAAAAAAAAAATAAAGTACATTAAAGAAAAAAAGAACTTACACTGCATCTATTACTCTGTGTAACAAGAGAGGTACAGTTTAAGTAGACCATACATAATCTGCGTGCATAGTGCTCATGTTAATTATCAATACTACTTCAGCAGACTATGGGTAAAATTTAGCAGGGAGTACATAGAGCAACATCTCTCCTGCTTTTGAGTTTTGTTTTTTTAAAAAACCCAGTGTGTTATCTGTAGTGATTTCCCATTGTGGTTCCCATCCAATGTTCCATTCTCATCCATATGGAACAATTGGTTGTGGTATTAGATTGATCTAAAACAATAAAGAGAATTATCAGTGTCTCAGTCTTCAATGTTCATATTTCAGTATTTAAAATTCAGAATCATCTTCTCTTCTGTATATATCACCAATTGTATTTTAAACATTTTAGCTACTTCTGTTCCCAAATTATTACACAAATGCATGTAATACAGTTTAAGGAGGTGAATCTCAAGCTTGGCTACCCATTAGGATGAATGAAGGAGTTTTAAAAAATTCCAGTGCCCAGGCCATACCCCAGACCAATTACGTCAGAATTTTTCAGGTAAGAGCCAGGCATCAGTAGTTTCTAACACTCCCCAGGTGATTCCAATATTCATCCAACTTTGATAACCCCTTGTTTAGGAGCTGTGATTCGCTATGTATTTCTCTACAAGAAAATGTACCCTGCCTTTGTAGCTATGGCAATAGGGTTTTCTTAATTTCCATAAATTTATATAAAACCTCTTCCCTCATAACCAAAAGCTTTTTCTTTTATGTTTTTATTTTATTCTTGGTCTCTCCTATACAGCAAATCAAGTGAGAATCTCCCCCTTCAGGACACCATGTTGCCTCACAATAGATTTTGCTAAGCCTTTCTTGTTCTCCAGCTTTGCAAACACAAGCCTATAAAATAAAAACATGTAAGTCTAGTGTTTGCTTAGTACCATTAATATGATAAAAATATTGCCAGGGGCTAGATCTTTAAATGATCTTAATTAAGACATTTTAGGATCTCATGATGGAGTGACCAACTTGCCTCTGTCTGAGACTTTCCTGCTTCTCGTGATGACAATCCTGAGTTCTGGGAACTCCCTTAGTCCATGGCAAACAGGGACAGTTGGTCACCCTGCCATGACATTGGTTGGTAATAGTTGAAAGGAAACCTTGGCATTCATTAGTATAGCTCTGAATGAACTAGATACATGCACCAACATCAGTGACTCTCACACACATAGGCCAAGCTAAAAAGATGCCAGACAGAAAAAAAGTTATACTACATATCATTTGTTTGAATTGGCTGCCTTATGGTAGTGGGGAGTTTACTAAAGTGTCATTTGGGAACTTTCTGGTATAATGAAAATGTGCTCTTTCTTGATAGGTGTGGGAGTTACATCGAGGTAATACCATTTATGAAAATTCATCAAATAGTACATGTAAGATTTGTACATCTTAATGTATGCAAATTTTACTATATCATAAAAAGTAAATTAAAACTGACTAAAATATTTATTTATTAATAAATCTACCAACGTATCATGCTAGCTAATTTGCTCCAAGCACAATTCTTTCAGTTCAATTACATGACATAGTATGAGTTCCTTTGATGTCACTTTACCATGCTGTATTACAATTATGTGCGTGCGGTAGCTACATGTGTGTGGTCCTCCCAGTAAACTGTGACTCCCCACAGGAGACTCTAAACCATATTTGTAATCCCAATGGATGGCAACCTGTGTCTCTCACAGTATCCGCTCAACAAATCTGTTTCATAAACAAGGCAGGACCTTCATGTAGATGCTTCTGCAAAGCTTGAGTTAACAGAATGAAGCAGGAAGTCTCTAAGTGGGGTCATTGAACCTTTAGCGTCAACATCATCTGGGCTCTAGTTACAACTGAGGTTCTACCCAGCAATCAGAAACTCTGGGAGTAGACGCAGCAATCTGGGTCTTAATAAGCCCTGCAGATGATTCTGATGTACACTTAAGTTAGACCACCACACAGAGGATAAGAGGATAAGCAGAAATCGTAATTCAGGAAGGTAGAATTTACTAAGATCCACTGACATTTCAGATCATACAAAAACTTGTGCCATTAAAAAAAAAAAAAATGTGTGCCATAGATATCCCAGCTCTGGAAGTAGGTTATGATGAGAAGCAAATTCTAATTATTCAACAATTTTTGCTTCACTTAAGAAATTTAAAAATAATTTTTTAAATCGACATAAAATTACATGTGTTTATCATGTACAACATGATGTTTTGAAGTCTATATACATCAAGGAATGGTTAAATCTAACTAATTAACAATTGCATTACCTCACATAGCATTACTTTTTGTGGTGAAAACATTTAACATTCACTCTCTCAGCACTTCTCAAGAACACAATACATGCGATATATCATCATTAGCTATATTCACCATGCTTTAAAACAAATCTCTGGAACTTCTTCCTTCTATCTAACTGGAATTATGTACCCTTTGACCAATGTCTTCCCACCCTGCCTCCCTCCTACCCACCCCACCTCTCTGTGCTCCACTTCTATGGGATCAACTGTTTTAGATTCCACATGAGTGATAACAGGTAGTATTTGTCTTTTTGTGCCTGGCTTAATTTACTTAACATAATCCTCCAGGTTCATCCATGTTGTTGCAAGTGAAGAAATATTTTTCATTAAGAATGTGATAAAGAAGAAAAATGAGGCTACGTGTTCAAGAATCTTAAAAGACAACCTGGAGAGACATGATACAAACATACAAAACAGGAAAGTAGCAACTTAAAAACTATGGCCATCTAGTCATGCCAACTAGACAGATAAATTGGTTTCAGGATATAGAACATGATCCAAAGTTTGGACATCCAGGGAAAGCCATTGCAACAGTGTAGAGGCCACCACAGTCTTACAAAGAGCTGACTCCTTCCTCATTGCTCAAAAATGACCCACAGAATAAGGCCCTTTCCTCTTGTCCCAGGCCAGATGCCCACTAAGCAGATGGGTTTTCCCCCCTTGGTCATTGAAGAAATACAGAACCAGAAGTGTGACTGACCAACCGCATTCTGGTAAGGGGTGCAGGAGGCAAGAGGGACAAATGTAATTCCAAATGCAGAGGGTCACATGAGAGCCCTCTGTGGAGGAAGATGAAGGAAATGTGGTCTAGAAGATGCCATCGAGGTGTGAATCAGGAGGACAGGCAGATGGGAAAGAACTTACCACATCTTGATAAGTAAATTTTGTTTCCAACAAGTTTAAACCATTAAATGGACAAATATTATTATGTAATCTAACAATTATTTAGCTGATAAGTAAACAAAAACAAGGAAAATGTGTTGACATCAGGAAAACAGGGCAGTATATAAGAGGCTGTGGCCCAAGGAGACTTCTAAACTCCAGAACTTCATTCTCCTGGAAACCCGCCGAGAACCTCCACCCTCTGACACCATGGTCAGCTCCTGTTGTGGCTCCATCTGCTCTAACCAGGGCTGTGGCCAGGAAACCTGCTGCCAACCCAGCTGCTGTGTGTCCAGCTGCTGCAGGCCCCAGTGCTGCCAGTCTGTGTGCTGCCAGCCCAGCTGCTGCCGCCCCAGCTGCTGCCAGACCACCTGCTGCAGGACCAC